TTACTAACGTATGAGAAAAGTTTCGTTTGGAGGCGATAGAGTAATCATAGGGCTTTCATTTGCATATTTATTTATGTTACACTCGTCGATCTTTTTTTAAAAAAATTGTCATTTTTTTTGCACACCACTGGTATGTATGTATCTACAGGGGTACATTACAGAGAAATTTACGGTAGATAATGAAAATAAAGAAGAAGCAATAGTAAAAAAAAAATATTGGTAAACTTTAAAAATGGTAAATTATACGTTATTAAATAAAATATTTTTTAAAATACATATATCTATTACTTTCTTTAGAGTTTACCCAAATGTAAAGAAAAGTACGAATTATGCATCGATAAATTAGTTTTAATCGAACGTTACATAATATAAAAAAGATCGACATTTGATTTTATCACCTCGTGATAAAACGAATGTCCATTATGCTACGCGCAATATGACGAAATATAAATGATGAAATAAATTACGAAACAAGCTTTTAAGACGCGTTACATCGATTTCATCAGCCACAAAAAATATTTATTTTTTTTTGAATAAAACATTGGTGTGGTGTAAACATTTATTTATATACTATCGTAGAACTTATTTACTTATTTATTAATATGTATAACCTTAAATATAAATTGTTATGCTGAGATTATATTACAACCAATATAATTTTGGAACAGGTAAGAAAATTTTCCGCATTCAATAATAGATCGGGAGAATACATCTACCGACCGCCCATACCAAAATATAAATATATATAGTATATCATAGTTCAATTCAATTTTCTCATAAATATTTAAAAATCTCTCTATTAATTTTAAACCAAAAAAAAGATATCAAAAAAAAAAAAAATGTTCGACTTGAGCTATCTTGTCGGTTCTTTTGTATTAGGACTGTTAGGTTGTGCTACCTATGTATTAATTATTTCACCATATTATATCTCTCCTCTGAGAAAAATTCCCGGCCCACCTTCCGAAAGTCTTTTATTCGGAAATTTTCTGAGTTTAATTACGCAAGGGGTAGAATATCTTTTTAAAAATATGTCAACCATGTCCCTCTGTATTATTGAAGATTAACCCGGTTTTCTTTTTTTTTTTTTTTTAGTCCGGTGAACCAATGCTCGGATGGACAAAAAAATACGGAAACTTTGTAAAATTTCATGGATTTTTTAATCAGCCAAGCATTTTAATTACAGAAACAAAAGCGATACAAGAAATTACTTTAAATCAAGTATATGATTTTATTAAACCATCAATGTTTATTGGTGATGGTAAGGCCATTATTGGTGAAGGTCTTATTCTTGCAGAAGGAGAATCCCATAAGAGACAGAGAAAAATGATGAATCCTGCTTTCACCCATAATCACATTAAAGTATGTAATGCTCTTTCTCACTCTGGTTATTATTATTCAAAAAAGATGACCAAAAAAAAAAAAAATTTTTTTTCTTCTCGACACAATTTAGAATATGATTCCAACATTCATTCAAGTGGCTTCGAAATTAACAGGCTTGATAAAAGGCGAAGTGAATGAAGGAGAAGAAACAAAAGTTGGTATAACTTCCTATCTCACAAAAGCTACTTTAGATGTCATTGGCTTAGTCGGTAAAAGAAAAAAAAAAAAAATTTGATATACGCATTTAACATCTTAAATAAATAAAGTTCTTAACCTTTATGTATTTTTTAGGGTTTAATCATGAGTTTAATTCGCTAACTTCTTCAAGTGAATTAGCCGAAGCTTATGAAGCTATTTTTGGTATCACCCCAAACAAAACATCCATTTCTCTTAGTTTTTTATCTGGTTACATTCCATCTATAAGAAAAATTCCAATCGAAATAAATAAAAGATTTAATAAATCGGTTGAGGTTATTAATCGTGAATCAACAAAGTTGATGAAAGAAAAATATAATGACGACAAAAATAACAAGTTGGAAGGAACTGATTTATTAACTTTATTAATTAAGCTTAACAAAACTTTGCCTATCGAAGAAAAAATGACCGATGGAGAACTAAATTCTCAGGTAATTAATGTAGATATTTTTTTTTTTTAAAAGGGAAAAAAAATTTATCTAATTTAACTGTCAAAATTTATTTTCTCTTTTGGATAATTAGATTATGACATTCTTATTAGCCGGTCATATAACCACAAGCATTTCAACAAGTTGGGCACTTTATCAACTTGCACAACAACCACATGTACAAGATTTATTGCGGGAAGAATTAGTTAGAGCCTTTCCAGATAAGTCAAAATTTAATCCCACTTTTGACGAAATCAATTCTTTGGAATACTTAAATTGTGTTATTAAGGAAACGTTAAGATTATCTCCTCCAGGTATGAGTTGAATTTATTTATTTATTTATTTTATTTTTTTTTTTTAACAAAATATTCATTAACCTGGTGAATTTTATTTTTTATTTTAGCTCCGGTTATTCAACGAGTAAATGTAAAAGATGTGGTCTTTGATGGTCATTTTATTCCAAAGGTATTGTTCAGTATGTTCATTATGTTTGTATTTGATATAATAAATAATAAATTTATTTTAATAGAATACTCAATTGATAATCCCAATCGGAGCACTTCATAAGTTACCATCAATTTGGGGTCCAACAGCCGATAATTTCGATCCAAATAGATGGTTAGATCCTTCTTTAATGAAAAATGTAAATAATTATAATTACTTACCTTTCTATACTGGTGCCAGATCTTGCATTGGTAACAAATTAGCCTTAAATGAATTTAAGATATTACTAAGTATGCTAGTTAGAAATTTTGTTTTTCGTCCAATCGAGGGATTACAGATTAATATACATAAAATTGGTAGAGCTGATCAACCCGTTGAATTAATGGTTTCCGAAGTTGAAGCTTAATGAAACCACCTCTTTATTTTATTTTATTTAACATTTTATAACCGAATAAAAAAAATTTTTTATTTTACATAAATTATTGAGATCGACATGTGTTAATTTGGAATTTCGGGCCATAAAATTTTTAAATTTTGTCAGTCATGTGAATTTCACCAAGAAACGGGCTAGTTGACTGACTCAAAGGTTTGATAACTCGATTTTCAGAACGTGTAACGTTGAACATTTTATTTTGACATTATGTGGTGGTGTAATGATACATTAAATCAAACCACAAAAGTCGTTTTTTTATTTTTATAAAATAGGAAACAAAAACAAAAATCAAAAAAAAAAAATAAACCTGCAAAGGGTGCATTTGAATTACGTTTCATAAATTAAATTCTCATCAACCTCCCAGTTAAAATTATTAAATAAAATTATTAAATATAATCAGGAAACTCCGTGATTGGGTCGTTAAAGAATTTTTGACTAAAAAAATTATGATCTTTTATTTTGGACACGAGTCGCGACTTTATTTTTTCCTCTATGAGTGACCGTAAACGCTTTATGAGAAAAGCGAATAAGGATTGAATTCCTATTTGGTCAAAAAGGCTGATACACGCATTTATTTTAATTGTTTTGAACATAAAAAAAAATTTTTTTTGATGTATTGTATTGATATGATATGATGGTCTTTATCCAACTTGTGTGTGGGAAAATGTTTAGAGTAATTGTTTACTTTAAAATATTCCTTTGTGGTTGTTGATAGGGTAAACTTTTTATATGGTTTTGAAAAACCACATCCTGCTAGTAAACATGAAATTTATAAATATCCATCAATAAACTTTATCCGACTAACCAAAAAAAACGAAGGTTCTTTGTCCTTTGAAATAAATAATACTGCAAACCCTTATTTTTTTGTCTAGAACGTTAAGTGCGAAAATGAACATATTTTGGAATGACGATACTAATTACCTACAAAGAAATGTTCATGTGAGACCAAATGAAAAAGATTAGGCTCAATATCAAAAATAACTATCAATGGGATCAAGAAATTATTAATTAATCCTTTATTGGCAGGTCGTCCAAAGATTGTGTAGTCCTTCTTCCGAGAAAGAAAAGAAAGAATACTTTCTTTTTTTTTTTTTCTTATAATATATATTTTTTTTTTTTTTAAAAAAAAAAAACGGAATAGTAATGTAAATATGAGATAAATAACTAGTAAAGAACCGGTTGAAAGCAATTGTCAAAAACCACGTAAAATTAAAAAGTTACTTCAAAGTAATCAAACCTGTTATATCGCAAGATATGGTTTCAAAACTAACATATAACTCCGAAAATCAATCACGTTATCACAAAAGATGCATAAACATTTGATCATTTTTATAATAATTTTCATTCACTGTGAATCCCTATCGTGACCAGACCTTGTGACATAATTAAAGAACATCTATGTAATAACCGTGGGAATAGAATTCTAACTAGGTCAATAATTTTTCCAAAAAAGAAATTCGGCGGAAAAAATATTATTACATTTCATATATATATATATATATATATAAATATGTATATAAACCCAAGGTTTTAACCTCCCATGACACTCTTCAACCTTCAACATTAAAAAAATTATATATATCTTTCGGGATTCATTATGCATGTTCAAGGTTCTTCCAAAACTCCTGAAAACAGCTATGGTAAGGCAAAGGTGTTAGAGGGTTTAAAGGTTTAGCTTGCTTTTAAGTAGACACCCACAAATTGTGCAACCACGTGATCGCGAAGGTTTCCAAGCGGTTTTAAAAGCTAATCCTAGTGTGATGATGTAACGAGTCCATATCAAACCGAAAAGGAAGCGCTAGTAATTACGTGAAAATGAAAATTAGCAAAATAACCGTGAATTATACATATATTGATTAATTTCACACATTTTTATGAAGGACTGATAGGATGGTATTCATGATAATTCATTATGGGCTTTTTAAATTTTTTCCATTTTCTCTTTTTTTCTTTTTTTTTAAGATTTGGAAATGGAGGATACGGATATGAATGACTCTGCCGTTCTTGTCAGTCCTCCTCATACAAGTACTACCTCAAGTTCTCTACTAACGCAAGATGAAAACGAATTGGATACACGTGATGACTTTCCAATGGAACTTGACTACAATGATAATAATTCCGTTACCGATGATAATGATTGCATTGGTGATGACTCCGATGATGAAGCTTCTTCCAACGAATATCAAGATGAACCTTCGTTCCATGAATCTGAATACCGAGATGAAGCCTCTTCCAATGAATCTGAAAGTCGAGAGCCATATGATTCTCAAACAAATTATGGTAAAGACTTGGCTGAATACATTCCCGGGTTATATCGTCTGTTAGACTTATGTAAAGATGATGGTACGAATGGATTTGGTAAGTTTCCCTAACATTTTTCTGTAAAATGTAAAAAGTGTCCTTATTTAATTTCACATTTCTTTTTAGTAGATAAAATAACTATCTCGAGGGATTATTTAGAGAAACTATGCAACAATTATGTTCCATCAAGTTTCAAAACTATTTCTGAAATTGATTTTACGAAATTAAATTCAATCTCGATTCACCTTATTGGATGTTATGGAAATCACGCTTTAATTGCGGGGCTCCTAAAGAAAAAAGGAATTATTGATCAACAAATGTGTGTAATTGGATCAAAATATTTTCTTCAATGCTCGTTATCTTAATCGTTTTTAAACTGCCTTTTTTATTTTAGACATGACGCGCTCGTTGCATCGAATTCTTCAGACAATACAAATAAATCGTCTTTACGTCCTGGTATTTACTTGCTGGTTGTAAGTTCAGACTTGGGTTTGGTAATCCATTGGCCGGAAGTAGGATGTTACGAGGAAAATGCTTCCTCGCAATGTAAAAAGAATGCGACTAACCTTCATAGGTATTAATTCAAATTGCATAGAAGCCTAATCATAACTTATTTAATTTTTAATTGAATTGATTCACATTTATTAAATGTTCTAGATATTTGACAAAGCTTACTGACCATCAGCTTTGTCTTATGGACGGTAAAGATTTGGAAAGTTTTGATTGGAACTTGGACAGTTCTGATAAATCCGATAGGGATTCCGACGATGAGAATGGATCACATTATAAATTTGAGGTGAAATTAATTCAAGAAGAACAGGAAAACTTTAAACTTCAACCCGGCTTCAAGGTTTCGATTCTAAACCAAATTTTTTGATGCTTTCACAAATGTAAAAGATATTTTTACACTAAATTTAAAAATTGTCAATTATTAATTAAGTTGGATTTACCAAGCAAAGTAAAGAACGAAATAGTTAATCACGCTCATGATGATATTCCTTTGTATCCTATTGGTAATAATTTAAATATTTATTTTTTTTCTTTTTTTTCAAAAGGGAGGATGTCTCTAAACTTTATGATTTAAATAATTGCTCATTCAATCTTTTTTCTATTTATTCTTGGATCTAGTCGTCGAATCTTCTACGTGTCGTTCGTTTGCTACTCGTCAATTAGCCTTTCGATTATGTACATCCACCCCAACTATTCCTCAAATTGACTTTGCTTGTGAACTACAGAAGAAGTTACGGAATCGAACTTTACGTTTCGATCGCGAAAAAATGAACATGAAATCATTAGAGATTTTGATCAAGCATGGATTAAGTATGGAAGATGAACTTCTAAGTCAATTACGTAATGCCATTGCAGTTGCAAAGTTGCGATTTGAAAAAAAGAAGGATCAAGAAAGGAATGCCATAAAAAAGGATACTGAATTGATTTCGAATCTGGCATGGGAAAAATTACGCTCCTGTTATAGGTATTTATCATTTTCTTTCTTTAAAAATCATATTAATGATGTTAACCGGTTCTTGTTTCATAGTCAATTTGAAGAGATGATTGACTCCTCTTCGCAAGCAATTATAAGTGACTATGGTTAAGTATAATTTTTAAAATTTTGAAATCCTCAGCCATATATAACTTTATTGATAAATGATTTCAATTTTAGATTTAGTACGAATCCGTTCGAATTATCCAAAGATTGATGAACAAATTGATGAAAAGATCGATATCAATTCCAAATCTTGGATTAGACTGAAAAGAAGATACTATTTAAACATGATAATTATTGTTGAAGTATATCAATTTATTAAAAGTAATGGATCGTGTAATGAAGCAATTACAGAATCCGCGATTCAACTTTTTTATGCTATGTTCATGGATGGAGAAAATGATGCGCATAAGTTAATAAGTAAATACGAGGAGAAACTAACTTCGCTCGCTTGCAAGTTGCCAACCTTTTTTGCCGGTATCTCTTTCACACCTGAAAACATTAATCGATTTGTTGGAGATTCGATTAAGAGGGCCCAAGATACGACAGATATCAGATTCATACAAGAATTTATGAATTTAGAATTCTTTGATGGATTTAATGGGATCAAAAATAAAGTCGTGGTTGCCTTCTTTGAAGAATACCAAAAATGGAGAAAATCCGTTTTTCCGAGTAACATTAAAGATATTCTGCCAAAATCTTCCATCAATAAACAAGTGTTGGAAAAGTTAAATTACGAATACGAAAAGGAAGTACGAGAAATACAAGCTCGTGAATTTCAACGAATTTGCGATGTATTAGAAGAAAAATATAGAAATGGGTATGTCTTTATTAATCATTGTTCAAAATGAAATCGTTTATAACTAATTCCTTTTTTTTTAAAAAAAAAATTCTAGATTTATGAAATTGAATATCATAAATGTTACAGGTGATAACTTAACCTGAATTTTTTTTTAATTTGTGAAAACTCACTTGGCTTTATATTAACAGTCCATTGTTTTTTTTTTTTTTTTTTTTTTTTTACATTTATCACTAGAATCTGAGAGTGGATTTCGATTCCATCATGAAATTGAAGAAATTCTGACGGAACAACTACATGTAACAATTTATGAAACTTCTTTAGACCAATCAGATACGCATCGACTTCAGGAAGATGAATTTCATGTTCCAGATATAGCTTTGAAGCGTGGTCAAGAAGTTGCATCATTTCACCTTGATCCACGAGTTTACGACATTAGGTAGGAGAAACAATGATTTGCGTTCTTTTTTAATATCTAGGAAAAGCAACTAATTTCATTTTATTGGTTACAGGAATATATCTCAATTTGAAAATCGTAAATTTCTTCTCGTGCTTTACAATAAAAAATCGCAAAAAATTGAAATTTTCCTCGACACTGCCGAGCGGTTGGCACAAAACTTTAAATCAAAGAGTTCATTTAAACCAATTAAAACGTTGAGTGTGGAAGATAAATTTCTTATTGCAATTAATGATTCAAAGAAATTAATTGCAATTTATCATACAAAAAAAGCTGAGGTATGTATAAATCATCTTTTGGGTATTAAAATCCATAAATTAATTATATATATTTTTTTTCAAATAGTTGGATGTATTTAATTTTATTGAGGGGCAAGCCATGTATCCACGAAATCCGAAAATCCAGTTAAAGCATTGGTATAATAATAATGCTCCGACCATTCAACACTTCTTATTCATCAACAGTACCGAAGAACTTTGCTTTGTTGAAAGAAGCGGACGTACACGCATATTCAATCTTATCAATCAACAATTTCGACCAACAACTTGTGACCTTCCATCTGATGCCGCAAAAATTTTAAGTTCTCCCGATGGTTCATGTATCGTAGCATTCGTAAGAGAAAATTCGGGACCTAAGACACCTTACGTTGATGATAATACTGATAGTGAATATACCGATAGCGAAGATGATGGCACGGTTGCGCTTACCAACAAAGCTAAAGAAATATGTCGTGCTTATGTTTATTTTTGTTCGACTTTCGGATACTCCAACTATAAAGGTAATTAAAAAATTTTCATATCCTCTTTAGCTTATATAAGTTACATATTAAAAAAAAAAAATAATCTCTCTCTCGTTTGAATAGTTATTAACTTACCGCCTACCCTTCAATCCTTGGAGTTCCTACAATTTAGTTGTATAAATAAACTACAAACCCACTTGATGTCACTTGATTTAAAAAATGGACGTTTCAGCTCATCAATAGTTAAAATTACGCTCGAAAAAACTCAATATCGTTTTCAGAAGCAAAAACAGACACTCGGATCTGCGAGGTTAATTGATTCTAATAACGATTATGCTCATATTGAAGGAAGGAATACTCATTTTCAATCTGATCAAAAAGTTCAAAAAGGAGAATATATTGTGTTAATGGGTGAAAGGTTCAAGGTGATCGATGTTATTTCGGATACCATGTTAAGAGTTACCGGCAATTTTAAACCTACGAGCAAATTTAATAGTTGGACTGAATTCCGTATTGAACCCAAAACAAAATTAAATGGTCTCATCGATGCCTATAAACTGATGTTTGAGAAATATCCAGTTGAAAGTTATGTTGATCCCGAGCAAGATCGTTTTATCAATTTGAAAATCGTTCTCGATATTGATGATGATGAAGTCGAAAATTATTGCGAGAAATTTGAGAGTTACATTACCGAAACTTTTGAAGGTTTGAAACGTACTACAAAAAAACCTACCTCAATATTAAAGAGATTTTCCACATCTGTCATACCTTTCCAAGAGCTTCATATTGAGCATTTGACGAGATATTCATCAAATTACAAATTAGGAGAATGGATCATTCAACTTTGTTGTTTAATTCCTATACAAATTGCGATAGCAAGAAATAATTTATTTCAACCGCTTAGGGATGGATTGGCTTCAAATGATATGGAACATGATGATGGTTCTGGTCATCATGTGGATAGCATAGCAAAGAATATTTCTTTTGGATGGTATGAAGGAATATTTAAGTATTTTGGTGATAAAAAAGTAAAAGTTGTTTCTAGTATGGGTGAACAATCGTGCGGAAAATCCTTCATGTTAAATCATCTAGTTGGAACTACCTTCGACGGCTCCGTAATGGTAATTATTAATCTCTCCCCCTTCCTTTTTTTTTTTAAAAAAAAAACAAAAGCTAATTTATAAATTTTCATTTCAGCGTTGCGTTGATGGAGTATGGATGTCATTAGGTAAACTAATGATTTTATATTGCATTATATTAAGTTATGATTAATTAATTAAACTTACAATCTCTTTAAACAGTTAACACCAAGGACTATATTTATGTTACACTTAATTTTGAAGGGTTAAAGTTTCTCGAAAAAAGTTCACAAGAAGGTAAAATTACAAAACTTATTATTTTTCATTTCAAACTATTCATTATATTAATATATACAATAAATCTTTTAGATATGTTTTTAACACTTTTCAATACGGTGATATCAAATCTTATACTCTTTAAGGTGATTAATTTGATATTATCTTACTACCACTTTCTTTACATATTTACTAATGAATGGAAATTATTATTTTCAAAAACAGAATAAATTTACCGTAAATAAGGATATGTCTTCAATCTTTCAAAGATTTCAAGATGGCGCAATGTTATTTGATCCAGATCCAAAAATATTTCAGGTACAATTCAAATATTATTTATATATATAATCCAAATGTGACGGAGAAAGTCGAATTTATTTAATGTTTTAATTATTTAGGCAAGGCTTTGTATCATCATAAAAGACGTGCCTAAGGCCGACAAAGAAGACATTGTTAGGGAATTTCAGTCAAAAATTTCTCAATTGGTTTCTGAGGTACATTTTATTATATTATTTTCAAAGGGTTTTTGTTACGGCTTTATTTATTTAAAATATTTTTTTTTAGGGGGGTAAAGATAACTTTATTTCAAGGATGTACAAAGGAGGACTGGATATCATTCCTTGGCCAATGTTTAATGACGCTGGATGGTTTAAAACCTTATCTAATGTTAATAAAGATTTAGAGAAACAGAAAGCAAAATATGAAAATGCGCGAACCTTCTTACAAAATACAAAGTTGATCATGGCTAAATTGAAGGTTCGTAAGGTTATCCCGTTCTTAATAAAAAGAATTTCATACTTATATTTGTAACTTTTTAGATATGTGATTGGGGTTCGTTAGATGAAAGCCTCATACAAATTCGCGTCGCAACATTAAAAGGATTACTATCAGTCGCTGTTTCTTATGGTTTAGAACAAAAATCTCCTGATTTCGAACCTCTCAAAGTAAATTTTATTTTTGTAATTTACGTCTTTAAATAAGTTTGTAAGCTAGAGAGATATTTAATTTTATAATTTTTACTTCTTTATTTCTAGAACCACGATACCGGAGAGCCAATTGAAGACCAAATAGACAAATTTTCCACGATTTTATTTGACTTCAATGGAACTGATGATGAAATATTAGCAGATACTGATATTCAATTATATGAAGACAGCTCATCTTTTGTCGAACTTTCTGAAGATTTAAGAGAGTACTTCGGAACTTACGTCCAACCACGAGAAGTATCTTCCGATGACACGAAATGGTTCCAAAATTTAAATAATTTCTTTAGATATGTCGTTGAGCGTCGCGTTGATCGTGTCACTGATTGGTATAGGCAAAATACTACCAATTTTCCACAAGATAACAGTGATATTGTTAACGGAAGGTTTGCAATGGAGCAGGAATTAAACAACCTTATGCGTTTGTGGACATTGTGCGGATTGACATGCTATCAATGTGGCTTAAAATGTGTTAAAAATCGTGAACACGAAGATGAACATGATTGTTTGACAGATCATAAGTGTCATTTCAATTGCCAGTTTACTGAACAACATAACCTTAGATTAATTCCGTCATGTAATTACAAAGCTGGACATGAAGGCATGCACGTTTGTAGTAAAATAAAAATTCATTTATGTGGTCAAAAATGTAGTCTTCACAATAAGCGTAATTGCCTAAAAGTTTGCGCAAAAAAAATTGGACATCACGATGAACATATTTGTCAATCGACACGTCATTTTTGTGAGGAAAATTGTTCATTGTCAACAAAAACTCACAAAGGAGTAGTTTATAAGTGTCCTAACAAATGTATTGTTCCATGTGAAGATCAACACGAAACGCATCGTTGTGAAGATGTAACGTGTCCGATTCAGTGTCCTTTTCCAAATTGCAAGAAAAAATGCCAAAGCAGTGATCATTTCCATTCAAATTCTAAATCACGAGTGGATCACTTTTGTGGGTATGTACATCATTTTATTTTTATTTTTATTTTATTTTTATTTCATTGGAAACGATTTAAAATTTTTTGATTTTAGGGATGAACATCAATGTCGTGAGTTATGCGAAGAATCTGGTATATGTAAGGTAGTAATTGCCAAGCAAGGAGTTAATAAAGAATCTGAAAAAGAATCATTTACGAAGGTATAAATTAATATGTAAAAAGTTAGATTATTTTTTAATAAAGAGATATTAATATTTGAATTATTTGAATGATGTTTTATTAACAAAATAGTATGTTCAATCAAGTGAAAGATTAAAATGCATTAAAAAAATTCCTCAAAATGAATTTAAGCACCCCGGAAAACACTCTCATGAAGAAGATGGTTTTCATTTTTGTGACGCAAAGTGTCAATTCTGCGAATGTTTTGTACGTGTTATACAATAATCTCTTTTGTTTGTGAATTCTTTTTATCTTTTATTATAACGTAAAATGTTTTATAATTAGTGTACATTGCCTCATGGGCACACGCAACTTCATGATACCAAACATGGAAATATGATACCAAACCAATTCAGTGATGACGAAGAATATGCAGGGTATATTATATTTAATCTTATTATTAATATCAATAGATATATCTTTATTTATTTTTTTTTTTTTTTTGGCTAAAACATCTTTCAATCGTTAGATACAAATCAATTAATCAAGGAAAATTCGTCCCTTGCAACTTGGTATGTATATATATTTTTGATTAAATGATGTATATTTTTTTTTTCTTCAAATATCTTTTAATTTTTTGTTCAATTTTTTTCAATCTTAGTATTGTAAAGATTTAGGAAGACATCGACATGTTGATTATTGTCAAGACGAAAAGGCTTGTAAATTAGGACAAGATATTCAGCATATTGATAATAATGGTATTTTAAATTTGTATTCAAGTTCTCTTCAGTACCATCGACTCTATTTTAACTATTTAATAAATTATAGAAAAACCTATTAATGATAAACCGCTAGATTTCATTTCTCATAGGTTGTTCTGGGAACGTACAGGTTTTAAAGGTATGTATTAATTCTTTATTTCTTTTATTTAATGTACATATTTTTGAATAAATTTTTTTTTTTTTTTATTCCAGATCCTTATTCTGTTCAGGAACAACAAGAGTTTGCAAAATGTGATCACGAATGTTCCGATGAAAAACATTCTCAAGGGTCTACAAATGCTCAAATTAAGTCATTTTGTGAATTACCACTTTTCCATGCTCCATTCGATCCAAGCTCAAACCCTCCAAATAACTATGGACATATATCTTCAGATGGGCATTATTATAATTGTGAAAATCCAGATACACGAGAAGCTGCCGCTTTTCATATTGTTTTTGTCTTGGATCGATCGGAATCTATGAGTTATAATGATATGAAGCCTTCACCGTGGACTTCTATTTTTAAGGAAATGAAAGCAAATCATAACAACAGACTCGGTGCAGCTTACAATGCGGTAAGATTTAAAATTAAAGAATTTAATGATTTTTACAAACTATTCTTATTCTTTTTAATGTATAATTTAGGTATACCAATTTATGGAAACACGTCTTACTTCCACTCAAGAAAACCAGAATCAATCGTCACCCACTTTGCGTGATAGCATTTCATTAATCCTGTTTGATCATAATGTTATCGTACCATTTGAGAATCGAAATTTAACGGAATCGGGAGCTTTATTGAAAACAATGCTTCAATATAAAACTGGTGGTGGAAAGAATTTCGATCTCGCAATTAAGAAAGCTGGGGATTTAATCTATTCTTATTTTGATCCTACAAAGTAGGTTTCTTACTTTTGTATAAGTTAAAATTTGAAATGTCCGTTTAATGTTTGCTTATGAATTTTTCTCGTCCCCCCTTTAGGACAAATGTCATTATTCTCTTATCTGATGGAGAATGTGGTATTCCAACAACTCAACTTAAAAATATTTGTAAGACGAATCAAACAAAAGGGTAATTATCATCAAATCTTTTAAATTTTGTTGCCTTAAACTAATTATTAAATTTAATATTTTGGAATTCTTTTAGTTCCCCATTATATCTCTATACAGTATCAATTAACAACGATTCACAAAGTCAACCATTAGAAGAGATGGCAAGGATTGCACAATCTTATCATCCTCCAAATACTTCATCCGGTGCTTTACGATGTCAATTTATCCGTGCCACTAATGAACCAAATTTAGTTAATCATTTTAGCAGTGTGGCGGAAAGTTTAAAGAAACACACATAACTTTCTTATATATAATTAAATGAACGTTCAAATAAATACAGTATATAGATGAAAAATCTTGTGCTTAGGTCTCGACTTTTTTTTTTAAAAAACATTCAAATTTACCAAATACCAATTGATGTATTTTTTTTTTTTTTTTTGATTATTTCATATATAAATAAATTTACTTTTTAAATAAATTAGTTTTAAATATATCCATTGGTGTCACGTAAATAACCCTAACCCCAATGACACGTAATGTGACAAATATGACGCCGAAAAAATTATTTAAAATTATCAATATAAAAAAAATTTTTTTAATTTTTTATATATAAAATCGTAGAGTATTATTAATTTTATAAATATAATAAGGATAAAAATTTGTAATCTTTAAAAAATGTTGATTTTTTCTATTCATCAATATAATATATAAAATTTATCAAAGAAAAATTCTCGTTATATAATTTATTAAGAAATTTTATAGTAAAATAATTTAATTAGTATAGATTTTTAAAAGAAATTTAATATAATTTTAAAATTGAATTGTTTTAAAAACTTCTATAACTTAAAATATCTATTAATAAAAAATATATTAAACTATATTTTTTTATTAATAATAATTATATTTTAAAATAATATGTGATATTTTATTAAAAAAATTAATACTTTTTTTTAAAATTTGCAAGCAATTTATTTGTTAACAATCTAAATAATAACTAAAAATATAAGACTTTGTAATAGAAATATATATAGTAACGTGATAAAGGTAAGATAATCATATATATTTATTAACTTATTAGTATTAATAAAATGTTAAAATAAAGAATAGATTTAATTAATAATTCATATTTTAAATTATAACTTGATATTATTTTAAGCTACATCTTAATTAAGGTTAAAACTAATATATTTATAATTGATATAGTATTTCTAATTATACAAACTCAATATTTTTATAATAATTTTAATATAATTAATTAAACTAATTATTTTACTGACTAAAAAAATTTAATATATCAATTTTTTTTCTTAAATTATAATCATTCTATATTTTCTATATCAACAGTATTATCAGTAAAATGATCTTTATATTATATTAATCTGATCAGATAACTAATTTAGATGTTTCATTAATAATATCAAAATAATATGATTTTAAAATTAAAATATGTTCAGATTTAATATTAACTATTTTTATTTTTATTTAGTTCTTTTTTCTTTCAATTACAAAGATTCTATATCTTATAGGTTTATTTTAAAATATTTTTTCATAAAATTTAAAATTAATAATAAAATATTATAACCAAAATAATTATATCAATTATGATTATTATTAATAAAACATATAATTATATTAAATTATTATTGTATTATATAATTATAATTTAAAAAAAATCAAATTTATCAAAATATATTTTTGAATATTAAATAACTGATAGTGAATATAGAATTATTTATAAAGACTAATTATATTTATAAATCTTTTTTGATTTAATTATCAAATAAAAATAGTATAATATTATTATCACATTTTGAAAATTACTATTTATTATTATAAATTACTTTAAAATAAATCTTACTTAGCTAAACTTTTAGAAATTTAACTGCCAAATTTAAATAGAGCGATCACTTTTAGTCATAGGATTATCAGACCTTATTCTTACTATATCATACTATGTTTGAATCATTATAATCTTTATCTATTATCAGAAGATCTAGTGATAAAATAATCTTACAAAACTTATATCTTATAAATTACCATTAATCTATGTAGAATTCTAAAAGATAAGTAACTATTATATTTATATTATCAAATTTACTCAGGAATTGAATCTAACTTTTAACTAAATAAAAATTTAACTAAATCAATATTTAGATCTGCAATATTTTCTATATTATTAATAATCTAATTTTTTAATGATTAGTTAATTACTTCTTTATAAAATAAAATTTTCTACTATTTAAAGATATTAGATAATACAATGATAAATTTTTTATTATATATACTATTATTATATTTTAAAAATATCTTTGATTATAAATAAAAAGTTATTACACATTTTGTAAAAATAATTTTAATAAACTAAATTGTAGAATCAGATTTATTATACAAAGTTTATTAAAATTATTTGAAATAATAAAGTTGATTAAAAAGAATTACAGTCATAATAGTATTACATCAAATTTCTTTATTTATTTATATATATAATATTTAATAAATTAAAAATTGTTATATATATTGTAATATTTTTCTTTTAAAAACATGAATAAAATATTAGATAATTTATTATTATAAAATTTTTTAATTAAATTATTATATATTTATTAATTTATATTTTATTTTATTAAATAGTAATAAAAAATTAAATTTAATAAATAGAATAAATTTTTTTAAAATAAATTCATTTTTACATTATAAGCTATATATAAATTATTTTTATTATCTTAATAAAACTTATCTATAAAGTAATCATAATATTTAAGATATTATATTTTAGATATATTTATTTATTTTAATCAGTTTATTAACTATAATATTTTAATTAAAAATGTATTAATTATAATAAGAATAAATTTAAAATCTGAAGAAATACAACCTAAAAATACATAAATCTTTGATTTAAAAAGAAAATTAATTTTAAAAAAAAATGATTGCAATATATAATAAATACCATATGTCATGAGTTAAAATACCTTAAATATTTGAAGATTTGAACTTTATATCTAGGTATATTATATAGACAGTACATATCAGGTACTATATATAGAAGGTATAGAATTTTAAAATATTTGAGGTATTTGCTGTTTATAATATCCAGATACTTTAAATTGTACTAATAAATAATTAATACATATAATATATCAAAATTATAATTATATCAATATTTTTCTACTATCGTTTAGATATTTCATTAAAAATAATAACTGAAAATAGCTTTTTTTAACCCCTATTTATTTAAAATGATACATGAATTATTTTTATTTTTATTTTGTAAAGCAAACTATTAAAATAGTTATTATTAATAAGAAGTAAAATAAAAAAGCACAAAACTATTTATTACAAAAAAAGGCAATAATAGAATGTAAGAAAGAAGTTAATAGCAGTACATTTTTTAGAAAATAATGAAAATAATAAATGTGAAACTGTTAGAAAGTTTGATATTTAACCTAAATAAGTGAGAAAATAGAATAATAATAAAGTAATATTACTGGCAATTGTATCTTATATTATCAAACTTTACCCAGATAAATCTGTTAAATATTCAAGTTTGAAAAATGATTTATATGTGTAAATTTATAAAAAAAAAGTAATAAAAATGTTGTTATCAGAAAAATGATTATTAATAAAGTCATTTTTTTTAAAAAAATCAAAAATTTTTAGCAGATAATCTAGCTATTTCATCTTTTTAGAAGACTAAAGTTAAAATAATTTTGACTATTTTAACTATTTTAATCTAATTTGAATTTGATTAAGCTTAAAAAAACTTTTTTATTTATCACAATAAGAAAAAGCTGTATTAGTAAAGTTTCTATTTTGTGGTTTTGCAATACAATAATTTATCAAGTAAAAATTTGCCTGCAAAACCATTGAAGAGATAAGTTATATATACAGTATATTAAAATTTTTTATTGCAACCTTTTACTCACTTATGGAATATTAGGTAGGAGACCTCCACGAACATAGTTCGTCATATCCATTATATGAGGAGCTAAATTTGGAGATGTACCGCCTGCTCATGGTAATCATCCGATTGCATGTAAAGCATTTATTACATGAAGAAGATAACAACCATCATTACGGAATACACTATATTGTATTCGGTGAAATCCTGCTTGTTCAAGAATATCCACGACTTGTCTATAATGACCGGAACTTGAACCAAATGAAGCAGTTAGTGCTGTTGCACCTAAGTCGTACTGAATGATCCAATTTCCAAAGAGCATAAGGGCATATAAGTTTTCCATGTTAAGAATTCAGTTCAGAGCAACGAATCCGACGAAGGAAAAGTTGGAGGTAATAGATATCTAGGTCGCGTTGTTGAACTTAAGAGGAAAAATTTCGATTTCTAATTTTAAGAAAGAAAATATAATTCAAACTTTTTAATGCACAGGTAGCGTTCCGCAATATGAGCCATGATGGAAAATACACTCTATAAATAGTTTATTTTTTTTTTTGAGAAATGGGAATTTGTTTAAAGTTTATTTTTAGTACAAAATAACAAAACTGTAATATGAATGATATAAAAATTTTCTTTTCGCCACATCTAACTTTAATAACGTTAACAATATGATTTTAAATCCTAACTTTAAAGATTTAAAAAAAGACTTTGACGGAGTGGCATCTTGTTAGTCCATGACCCATATTAAAAATTTAGTTATTGGTTGTAGTTGCTGTAAGTAGTAGCAAAGTATGATTGATGTAGGGGTTCGATGAAAGTATCACCCATTTATCAAGGCGTTGCTAAACTTAAATTTAAGTAATTTTTGTTTCTGTATCTGTATGAGTAGGATTTTGTTTTTGTGCTTATATATAAATCACGTGGAAAAAGTATTGGCAAATAAAAAGGGCAATTTTTTATAACGTGAAGTTTTTTTAAAAAAACATTTTCCCAACACTTCCTCGTCTTTTGTGCTTGCTTAATATCTCACGTCCCAGAACAAGATAACCGTGAGTCTTTTTTGTGAATGTTCTATTATTTTTCCAAGTTATTTATGTACTTATGGTTTACTCCCACAGAACCAACTCTTCGCGACTTTTACAATGCTACACAAAAAAAATCTGAAGAATATCATGCTTGTTTAACTACTACTATATATGGCGAAACATATTTGGACCCAGAAAAAGTTAAAGCTAGAGGTTTTGATATAAACGAGTAAATGATTTATCAACTTTGCTTTTTTGATCTCTTTTCTTATGTGTCTATTACTACAGAGCAATTGAGGTAGGGAATGAAATGATCAGATTGTCAGGGGAATGGTTTGATAAAACAACAAAAGAGAAAGGATTTCACACTATGTTCAAGGAATTTATTGATCAAGCGTAAGTTGGCATCTTAATTATCTTAATTACAAAACGAAATCACAAGTAGAAATTAATACATCTGTTTTAATAGTCCGCCACAATTTGTAAATAAAAGATCGAATTTTTCGAGTTTTGATGATTTGTATGACTTCACAAAGAAAGAAAAGAAGGGAAATAAGAATAATAAAAAGCTATCAAAAAAGGTATTTTTTTTTTTTAATTTACTTATTAAATAATTGATATTTAGTGATGATGTCGTTGACTCTTTTTTACATTCAGAAAATTCGTTCTTTAATGAACAAAGCTTCATATCTTGTGGGCCGTAAAATCAAACTTGAAGATAAATTATATGTCAAAGTCATTGCCGTAAAGACGAACGATGACGGTGTATTTTTGGAGGTGGAGGAAAAAGTGGGAGATAAATTGGAATATTATGAAATTATGTATCAACAAGATATGGTTGGATTATAAATTTTTTTATATTTTTTCATAGACGTAAATAATCTTGATATAATTCGGGTCATAAAATATTCTTGCCAAAAAAATTTCGATATAACTGGTTTTAGTTGCAAACCCTACTAATTAAAAACTTTATAAACTTTATACAAGTGTTTTTATTTTTACAAATATTTAGAATTCTTTTTTATAGACATAGACAATAAAAATTTGTTGCTTTAATTACTAAAAGTAATGGCTATAATTTAAGAATATGAAAATAATTATTTGAAAATTAATATGAGAATTAGTTATTATTATTCATTATTATCATTTCACCCAATTTTTTCAGCTTTCGATTTCGAGGTTTATACAATTGGAAATTGATCTTCCATTGTTTTTATCTGAAGTTTAACTAACGAAGTAGAGATATAATGCATCGCTATAAATTTATTTATAAACCCTTTTATGATTCTTAAGTATAGATTAAAAGAAATTTTGACATATTTTTAACAATATTTACAAAAAATGCCCTTTTATAACCTGTTCCAATTCTTAAATTCTGGATATAAGTCTGGAATTCTCTTGTCTCGTTCAGATTGTATGATTAAGAATTTTTTTTTTACAAGATGAAATATTTAAAAAGTTCGAGTTATTGCACAGGAACAATAGAAAAAAAATCATGTGTGCGTGATGCCTTTTCGAGTTTATATAATATAATAAATCCTAAAAAAGCTCTACATTATTTGTTAACATTTTATATCACTTCAGTAAAAAACTAAAAAGATTACATCCAAAGATAAACTTTTTCCCCCACAACTTACTTATCCAATAAACACCATATGCTTTGTCAAGTCCTGCTCCGCGGTGGAAACTCATTATTATTCATCGTCTGTTGTTGTTCATCAGCATTGATTACAAGAATATTTGAAGGTTGAAGATTTGTGAATACAAGTTCTTCTCATGCAGCAGCAGATTTGCTACGAAAACAGATTTTTGACTAAAAATTAAGATCTTTATTGCATTTTTCTCAGAACCGGATTTTCCTAGCAACCTTCCTATATTCCATTTTTCATGCTCAAAAAGGTACTAACGACATAGTTTTTATAATCATCCGAAATTTTCCGAGTTGTGATGTGCATGAGACATTATATTCCCAGATGAACTTTATAACAATTATGCCATCCTTCCAGACAAATTTTTATGGATCCTTCTTACTGATAGAGATAAGTAAAAGGAATATAAGCAACGTAAGGAACAAATCAAATATGAAGTTGTATAGTGCACAAATGAAGGATTAAATTAACTTACAATAGTTTGAGCCCTGTGATTTCGATAAATGGCTGGGTCTGGGTTGAGTTTTGGGCAAAAAACTTATAGACCCAGATCTGGATTTGATATGCTACTTCGTTCTTCATTTCGAGAAACAATTGATAGGAGATATTATAACTACTCCATCGCACACACGTTTCCATCACTTTAAAGAGCCTAATTTTTGTGAGTCTCGGTTTCGTAGTATTTTGATGATTCATAAAATAAATTTCTCAAAATCATTGAGAAATTGCTAAAGATACGATGGTAGAGAAGGATTGGGATGATTTGTATTTTTAAGTGGACGGCAATTAAAAATGGTTCTTTTTTTTGTTTGAATAACTTCTTAGGCTTGGCGGGCAATTTGAAGAAATATAATCGATTCCTCCTCAAGAACCAGTAGACATTATTTAAAGAAACTTTTCTGGTTTGTATGTTTTTATGAACCACACTTGCCAATTACTCTTGTGTAACATGACAGTCGTTGTTGGATAATATTTTGCTGATCATTTAAGTTCTTCTATCCTCCATCAAAAGAATTTTATCCAAATGGTTTTAAACAAAAGGTATTTCCACAAATATGTTTTTGTTTTTTTTTTAAAGGATAAAAACTCGTGTGACTTACTAACTTCTTGCGTAATGCAATCAAATTATAAATACCCTTGTGTTTTCCTCTTTTAGCGAAACGCAAGATAAAAATACCTCTTTATTTCACAATTTTAGTTGAAACTAATTGCCAAGCATATCAAAAATATAAGCGCCTTATAAAAAAAATAGAATTCTATACTATATATAATACTCATTAAAAGTGAAACTGTAAACTTGCAAAAACGTTTTTACTGATGTAGTAAATTTTATACATTTATGTAAAAATGTATTTTTAGAGGGAATACACGTTACTAGTTTTATTTCAATTGTGCTTATTTTTATTATTAAATGATCAGTCATTATAGTTGATTAAAATAAGAATCAATATATTATAATCATCTCCTTTTTTATTATTTTAATAGGAATTGTATGCATTTAATCTCTTTTAAAGAAATCCCTTCCTATGTCATAGAAGTTCCATGCAACTGAGAAATAAAATAAAGAACCCAACCAAATTTCTTTGATCGCAAATTTGTTTGGTTATTGTGATCAACACACTGCGCAGTGGTGTACATGGGACAATGTCCCGCCAAATTTTAATGTCTTGGACCCAAATGTCCCAATGTTCCCAATGACCTATCCTTACGGTATATATACGTAAACATTAAGAAATTGTTCGCCTCATATTATTTTTCATCGAGTGATGTAAATGAAGGTTCGACCTTATCAATATATATGTCATTTATGATAAAAATAACAATTACCAAATGATTACTTTCTCAAAGTATATGACAAAAACATTTAATCATTTTATCCCAACAATTGAAAAATTTTTCCGAACAATCGTGGGAAATCCAGTCAAATAAATTTTCATGTGTGTGTGAACTTTATCTAATAGTTCTCCAAACGGCTGATTGTTCTACATATGTTGATAAATTATTTAAAAAAATCAATCAACCTGCGGTTGTGAGAGAAAAAAAAAAAAAAAAAAATTATCTTATAAAAGACAGATTATTCTTTAAAGTAGAAATTTTCCTTCAACCGTCAAATCTTAATTAGTCGGTTAAATTATATCACCATGCACATTGTTAATTCTTCCCAAGATTCTGATGATTTTGGTAAGAATTTTATATCAAGGCAATGTATATATCAGAAAGCATGACATAAAGTGACTAATTTTCTTAATTCCTTCTGTATTTTCAAAATAAAAAAAAAAAAAAAAAAAAAAATAAGAATTTCAAGAAGATACAAATGGTTCGACCGTTCTTGTCAATCCATCGATGGCGTGTGAAGGAACTCCTTTAGTGCAGCAGCCAATCAGGGTCGAACCTAACTACCTTCAAAATATAAATGAAGCAAATTTGCCTCAATTAATGACCGATAACGCAGCAAACAAACAATCACCAATTGACCCACGTCAAAGGGATCTTATTGATACGAATCTTTTACAAAGATCGGTAGAACAAGTAACTGAGATTTCGGACCAAGCTCAAACTGTCAATTCACTTTCACCAAATTTAAGTGAAATTATGAATACGAAACCCTCTGTCGTTAACAACACGCAAAGATCGGAATCGATCCAAGCTCAAAATAAACAAACTTTTGATAATTTGCTTTTTCATAATTTATCATCTGACGCTAAAGATAAGCAAATGTCGGAATCTTTTAGGCCTTCAGACAAAAATATCGAGTTTCAATTTATGAATTTAAACCTTTTTTCTGGCGATTCTTCTCAACATTCTCACCATGATCAACAATTAGAAAATGCAATTACAACTGGATTCGAACAAATAATGAATTCGAGCATATTTGCTAATATACAAAAAGGAATTTCTACTCAATCTCAATCTGATGAATCATTTGAATTGACGTCAGATCAAGATGCTATCCGAAAAAAACCAACGAATGAAATTCCTAGGATGGAAACAAATTTTGGGAATGATATTGAGAGCAGAATTGATCCAAAGGAAAATATCCGCAAAGTTCTCAAAAATAATAAATATCATTCGCTTAATTCCAAATATGGTAAAGATTTAGCTGAATATATTCCCGGCTTGTATCGTTTATTAGACTTATGCAAAGATGATGGATCAAATGGCCTAGGTACGTTCCTTTATATGACCTGTATTATTTAAAATATTGATATGTATTATGAAAATTCACTCGATGTATTTTATAATTCTACAGTGGATAAAATAATTATATCCAAAGATTCTTTAAAGAAACTATGCAATGATATGGTTCCATCAAGTTTCAAGTCTATCTCTGAAATTAATTATACTAAATTGAATTCAATTTCTATCCGTCTTATTGGATGTTACGGAAACCATGCTTTAATTGCAAAACTCTTGTTAAATCAAGGTGTCATTAATCAACAAATGTATGTGGTTTATGAAATATATACATTCCATTTACTGTAATTGGATTTTAACTTGATCATTTTTTTTTTTTTATTTAGACATGATTTTCTTACAGAATCGCAATCATCCGTAAATAATCCTTCTTTACGTCCTGGTATTTATTTATTGGTAGTGAATCCAGATTTAGGTTTAGTCATTCATTGGCCTGAAGAAGGATGTTACGAGGAAAATGCCTCTTCTCAACGTAAAAAGAATATGACTAATCTACATAGGTATACAATTTATTAAACTGTGTTAATTATCAATAATCTTTATTGACATTTTATCAACTCATAGATATTTGACAAAGCTTACTGATCATCAACTTTGCTTTATGAGCGATAAAGACCTGGAAAGTTTTGACTGGAAATTAGATAAACCCGATGATGATTCAGACGACGACGAAGTGAGTTATGAGTATGAAGTCAAGAAAAGTCAAGAAGAACAGGAGAATTTCAAAATCGATACCGGATTTAAGGTTTTAATTTTTCTTTATATTAATTAGCGTAATATATCAAAACATTTCTTTTAACTGGATAATCAAATTTTTCAAGATGAATTTATCTGATAAAACCAAAACCGAAATAAAAAACACCACTCAAGATGAAATACCATTATATCCAATCGGTACTTTATTCATTCTATATATTTGAATTTTTTAATTCCTTTTGCATCCGTATTATAAAGATGATAAATTTATTTTTTTTTTAAAAAAAAATTTAGTGGTTGAATCAACTACAAATCAATCTTTCGTTACTCGAAAGTTAATGAAAACAGCAAAAACATTAAATAAATCGAATGCTACTTTTTTTGAATACTCATTTTCGAATGATTTTCTTAAAAAACTTGAGGGACATAGCTTATTTATTTGTCGTGAATCAATGAATATGAAGCAATTGGTATTCCTGGTAAAATATGGATTTAAGATGGAAAATGAACTTTTAAAACCATTCTATAATGCAATAAAAAATGAAAAGTCATCAATGGAAAAGAAAAAAGAACAAGAAAAAGATATAGTGAAAGAAGATGCAGAAATTGTTACTAGAATGATGTGGAAGAAATTAAAAGATTCTTATAGGTATTTTAATAACATAAATAACGAAAATAAATATCTTAAATTTAATTATTAAATATAATTATTATTTATTATTTTTATCACTTAGTTCATTTGAAGGATTGATCGATAGCAATACCACATCACATGAAATTGGAGATGAAGGTAACGTATTTTAGGATTGATCAAGGTTTGAATAATCTAAACTGATGTTTTATTTAAAATTCCTTAGATATCAAAAGAATTCAAGATAAATATCCCGATATCGAAGCGAAGATAAACGAAAAAGTTAAAATAAATTCCGACGAATGGCGTAGGCTGAAAAAAAGATTTTTTTTAGCCTATATTACTACTAAACAGGTTCTTAACATCTCAGACTTGAATTCTGAACAAAAACAAGAAATGACAAAGTCAGGGATCCAAGCATTTTGCGAATTGTTCAATGACAAAGAGAATGATACATATAAGCTTGTAAAAAATTATGAGCGTCAATCACGTGGTTTATTTTATTATTTATTGTCCAAGATTACGACAAGTATAGATTCGTATATTAATAAATTAGATCAATGTTGTAGTAATTATGTGCTTCAAAAATCAGACTCTGAATTCGTTCAGGAGCTTAAGTCATATTTTGGGGATTTTACCGATATACAGTCAAATGTGGTAACCGCTTTCCACAATGAATACCAGAAATGGAGAAAGGATACTTTTCCAAGTAATATTAAAAAGATAATACCCAAATTTTCCTTTAAAGAATTAAATGATAAGTTAAGCCACGAACTCTCACAAGCGAATAAAGAAATTGAGGTTCGTGAATTTGAAAGGATATGTAGCGAATTGGAAAATAAATATCGTGATGGGTGAGTCATATTATGTTAAATTAACTTCACATCATCTTTAAATTTATCATTTAACTTTATTCTTGCAATTTTTATATTTAGACCTCTGCGCGTTAATATATTAAATGTTACGGGTAATTTATTATAATAAATTATCATTGTATTGATATACTGTATATAATATAATTCAATCTCTTTTTCTCTTTTTTTTATAAAAAAAAAAAATCTGTAGAATGTAGTAATAGCTATTCTCGCAGTAAATCTTTTCGATTAAATTTTGAGTTTGAGACAACTCAACCAAATCAATTGCAGATATCCATTTACGAAACATCATTAGATCAATCAGATACCTTACAAATTCAAAATGACGAGTTTCATATACCTACTTTGCATCCAAATAATCAAAATGGAGCTACCTTTCAGATTGATCCTGCGATTTATGATTTCAAGTAATAATGCTTTACTTTTTCTCAAAAAAAAAAAAAAAAAAAAAATTAAATATAAATTCTAAATTACAGGAAAATATCTCAATTGGATAATCGCAAATTTCTTCTCGTGCTTTACAATAAGAAATCACGAAAAATCGAAATATTCTTTGGTTCTTCCCAACACATAATACAAACTTTCAAGACGAATAAACCTCTTAAATCTCTGAATACAGATGAAAATTTTCTTATTGCGATTAATGAGCCAAAAGAATTAATTGCTATATATCGATATACAGAAAATGATATTGTGGTAAGCAGATATTCTTTGGTGATTTATATAAATTTTTAAATCTAATTTTATTAACTGTTTAAATAGTTAGATGTGTATGCCTTATATGACGGTCAAACACATTTTTATGCGCGAAATTCAAATATTCAATTGTTACAGTGGTATAATAATACGGTTCCAAATTTGCAGTATTTCTTTTTTATTAAAAATACCGAAGAACTCTGCTTTGTTGAGAAAAGTGGTAGAGCGCGTATTTTTAACCTTGTAAATATGCAATTTCGACCAGCGGTTTGCAAACTTCCATCCAATACCTCAAATGTCTTAAGTTCACCCGATGGTTCATGCATTGTAGCATTCGTAAAAGAAAACTTAGAAAAAAATATGGTAAACATTGATAGTGTTGGTAGTAGTATTACTACTGATGATGAGAGTGACTATGATTCAGTTATTACTAATGAAGAACAACAACAGGATGATTCCGTTAAAGACGGTAACATTAAAGAAATATGCCGTGCTTATGTTTATTTTGGCGCGAATTTTGGAGATTCTGTTAGCAAAGGTTTGTAATTTTGTTATGTCGTATATGCTCTCGCTTAAATTTCTAATAAAACTCGTTACTTTTTATCTTATAGTTGTTGATTTACCAACATCTCTTCAATCCTTGGAATTCTTGCAATTTACTTGTATCAACAAAATACAAACCCATTTGACGTCATTTGATTTACAAAGTGGATGTTTCAATTCCGCAATAGTTAAAATCACCCTTGAAAAGACTCGATATCGTTTCCAGGAACGAATGCAAAAGAAGTCACTTGGACTTGCAAAATTAATTGATTCTCCTAGAAAAAATGTCAATTATACTATCATTGAAGGAAGGAACACACATTTTGAACAAATTGTTCGTAATGGAGAATTCATTGTATTAATGGGAGAAAAGTTTAACGTGATTGAAGTTCTTTCTAGCACAAAATTGAAAGTTGGTAGTAATTTTAAAAGTGGATTTGATGATTGGATGGAATTCCGTATTGAACCAAAGACAAAATTAAATGGCCTCATTGATGCTTATAAATTAATGTTTGAAAAATATCCGGTTGAAAGTTGTATCGATTCCGCACAAAATCGTCCTCTAAGTTTAAAAATCGTTCTCAATGATGAAGTTGACGACGAAAAAATCGAAGAATTCGGCGAAAAATTTGAAGAATATATTTCTGAAACTTTTGAGAATTTGAAACGTTCTACAAAAAAACCTGCAACAATTTTAAAAAAATTTTCTTTATCAATCACTACTTTCCAAGCCCTTGATATTAAAAATGTGAAATTTCAAAAGAAATTTTCATTAGCATATGAAATAGGAGAATGGATCATTCAATTATGTTGTCTAATTCCAATACAAATTGCTGTTGCAAGAAATAATTTATTTCAACCTCTTAAAGATGGATTATCTTCAAATGATATCGAACTTGATGACGGTTATGGTGGTCATGTGGAAGGCATAGCAAAAAACATTTCTTTTGGATGGTATGAGGGGATTTTCAGGCATTTTGGCGATAAAAAAGTGAAAGTTGTTTCTAGTATGGGTGAACAATCTTGCGGAAAATCATTCATGTTGAACCATCTTGTTGGAACTACCTTTGACGGCTCCGCAATGGTAAATATCAAATCTCATTTAAAATTTTTTTCTCTTTTTAAAATAAATGACCAAATTAATATTCATTTCAGCGTTGCACTGAAGGTGTATGGATGTCACTGGGTAATAAACATTTTTGCTTCTCGTCTTAAGTGAAATATTACTCAATTTATTTCTTTTTCCTATATAGTAAATACCAAGCAGTGCATTTATGTAGCACTCGATTTTGAAGGTTTAAAATCTCTCGAGAGAACTCCTCAAGAGGGTCAGTATATACTATTTTTATTTTTACTATCATGAAATTGCGTATTAACGAAGATATTCATTCTTTTTTTTTTTTTAGATTTATTTTTAACACTTTTTAATACAGTAGTGTCCAATCTTATACTTTTTAAGGTGATATGTGATAAATTTATTACTTTATTCATTTCAAATTTTTTTTTTTTACTTTCTCATTCAAATTATATTTAATTTCAAACAGAATCAATTTGCAGTAAATAGAGATATGTCTTCGATGTTTCAAAGGTTTCAAGATGGTGCAATGTTATTTGAGTCAGATCCAAAAATATTCCAGGTAAAAGTTAATATATAATCTTAATAAAGAATAACATAAAAAAATTATTTATTAATATGTTTATAATTTAGGCGAAACTATGTGTCATCATAAAAGATGTGCCTAGAGCCGACAAAGAAGACATTGTAAAAGAATTTAAATCAAAATTTTCTCAATTAGTTGCCGATGTACAGTATATATTTTATTATTATATGTTTTCAAGGATTTTTGTTGCGGCTTTATTTATTTATTTTTTGAAATAATTTTAGGAGGGGGAAGATAACTTCATTTCAAGAATGTACAGAGGGGGGCTTGATATTATTCCTTGGCCTATGTTTAATGATGCCTCATGGTTCAAGACATTATCAAAGGTTAATAAGAATTTAAATAACCAGGAACCTAGATATGAAAATGCACGAAATTTCTTACAAAATACAAAAGTAATTATGGCTAAATTAAAGGTCTGTAGAATTATATATATATTAATTATTTTATTTATGATTGATTAAAAAAGAGACTTGAATTTTATAACATTAGATATGCGATTGGGGTTCATTAGACGAAAATCTCACTCAGATTCGTGTTGCAACATTAAAAAGATTACTCCCAACTGTGATTTCCTTTGGTTTGGAACAAAAAGATTCTACTACTGAACAACTTATGGTAATAATGGTTTTTACTTATATTGATGTAACATAAGCTTCGACAAGTTTAACGAATTTTTAACGTTGATTTTAAATTACTTTTTCTATATACTTCAAAAGAATCGTGATACCGGGGAACCGATTGATGACTCAGTAGTCAATTTTTCTGAGATTTTACACGAGTTCGAAGAATCTAATATAACATTGTCAGATTCTGATATCCAATTATATGATGAAAACGCATCTTTTGTCCGACTTTCTGAAGATTTAAGAACTTACTTCGAAGAAAATATACAATCGCGTAAAAACTCATCCGATGATCTCGAATGGTTCGGCAACTTCAATAGATTCTTTAAATATATTATCGAGCGTCGTGTTTCACGTGTTAAAAATTGGTATATGCAAAATACTGCCAAGTTTCCGCAAGATAACAGTGATATTCTTAACGGGAAGTATGCAATGGAGCAAGAGATAAGCAAGCTTACACTGCTATGGACATTTTGTGGATTAACATGTTATCAATGTAATTTAAAATGTGTCAAAAATCGTGATCACGAAGAAAGTCATAATTGCTTAACAGATCATAAATGTCATTTTGATTGTCATTTCACTGAAGCCCATAATAGTAAATTAATTCCAATGTGTAGTCATAAGGCTGGACATGAAGGAAAACACGCTTGTGATAAAATAAATCATTTGTGTGGTAAACCTTGTAACCTTATCGATAAACGTAATTGTCAGAAAGTTTGTTCAAGGGAAATTGGACATGAGGAGGAACATCTATGTCAATCAACACTTCACTTTTGTGGAGAAGCTTGTTCATTATCAACAAAAACTCAGAAGGGAGATTATAATTGTCCTAATAAATGTATTAGACCATATGAAGAAGAACACGATTTACATCGTTGCGAAAATCCAACTTGTCCAATGCAGTGTCCAATTCCACGTTGCCAGCGGAAATGCCAAGTTAATGATCATTTTCACTCATTTTCTGATTTACCAGTAGATCATTTTTGTGGGTAAGTACTATATAATACCATCACTTATTTTTTCGTTAATTGGGAATTGGATTTGATCAAATTAATTATTATTTTAAGAGATGAACATCAATGTCGTGAATTATGTGAAGAAGATGGTATATGTAGAATAATACTCGAACCGAAAAAGCAAGAAGAAGTTTATAAAGGATTAGTAACCAATATTGCATTTACGAAGGTATGTTAATGTCGTTTGAAGTTATTTTGATGTGGTTAAAATTAAATTTAATAATCTATAAATGTTTATTTTTCATTAAAAAATAGTATATTCAATTAAATGCAAGATTAGCATGTATCAAAAAAATTCCGCCAAATAAATTTAAACATAATGGAAAACATACACATGAAGAAAGTGGCTTTCATTTTTGTGATGCCAAATGCCAATTCTGTGAATATTTCGTATGTATTATAAAAATCTGCGTATCATTTTTTTTTTTTTTAAAAAAAAGATATATTAATTAAATGTTTTATGATTAGTGTACGTTACCTTATGGGCATGCACAAATTCTTCATAATACGACTCATGGAAATATGACACAAACTGAGTTCACCGGAGAAGATAATGAGTTTGAATATGCAGGGTATAGTTTATATAAAATCAACATGTCTGTTATATTTTATTATTAATTTTTTTTTTTTTTTATTAGTCATAAATTAAAAGTTGGCGATCAAGGAACATTTGTCCTTTGTAACGTGGTTCGTTATTCATAATTTGTAATTTCCACATTTTTTTTTTTTTGTTATTCTGTAGTTTTAAACTTTAAAATTCCTGTTTCCTCAATATCAGCACTGTAAAGATTTAGGAAGACATCGTCATATTGATTATTGTCAAAACGAAGAAAATTGTAAATCAGGACAAGATATTCAGCATATTAAGGGTAAATTAAACAAATTTATGATTTAACTATATTTAATAGGTTAATTAATTGATTTAAATTATAGAACGAGTACATCCTAATCCTGAAATATCTAAAGATTTCATTTCTCATAAATTGTTCTGGGAGAGAACGGGTTTTAGAGGTATATATCAAATAATTCCACGTGCTTCTTAAAAATATATTGATGTATTTTTTATATTAGATCCTTATTCCGCTCAAGAACAACAAGATTTTGCAAAATGCGATCATGAATGTCCTGACGAAAAGCATCATAAATCTCAAGGATCTACAAGAGCTCCTCCAACTAAATCATTTTGTGAATTATCCCTTTTCCATGCTCCGCTTAATCAAGATTCAAATCCTCCAAATGACTATGGATACATTTCTTTAGATGGGCACCATTTTAGTTGTGAAAATCCAAGTACACGTGAAGCCGCTTTTCATATTATATTCGTCATGGATCGTTCAGGATCTATGAGCGGAAGGGATAGAAAACCAATTCCAAACCATCCAATTTATAACGAATTAATAAAAAATCACAACGATAGAATAGGCGCGGTTTATCAGGCGGTAATAAATAAATAATATTAAATTTATTATTTTCAAGTATTCAATTTTAATATATTCAATATATTCAATATTTTTTTTTCAATACAGGTATATCAATTTATGGAAACGCGTATTGCTTCCGCTCAAACTAGTCAAAATCATGCTTCATCCGCTTTACGGGATAGCGTTACATTAATTCTTTTTGATCATAAAGTTGTTGTACCATTTGAGAATCAAAGCATGACAAACACAGGGGAATTGTTAAATATTATGCTTAATTATAAAGCTGGTGGTGGAACAAATTTCGATAATGCAATTCAAAAAGCTGGATATTTGATCACCTCTTATTTTGACCCTACGAAGTAAGTTGATACTTATTACATGAGTTAATTATATATTATTAGCGAATGTATTCACACAAATTTTTCTTTTTCAGAGCAAATATCATCATCTTCTTATCCGATGGAGAATGTGGTGTTCCAACCAAACAACTTCATAATATCTGTAAACAAAATCAGTCAAGAGGGTAACTATTATCAAAGTTTATAAATTGTTGCTTTTATAATATTGATTTGAATTACAAATTTTTTTTCGTAAAATTTTCAGATCGCCAATATATCTATATACAGTATTATTTAGCAGCAGTGCACGAAATCACTCTTTAGAAGAAATGGCAAAGATTGCGCAATCTTATCATCCACACAGTTCATCATCTAGTGCTTTGCGTTGTCAATTTACTTGTGCCATTACTGAAGTTAGTTTAGTTAACCATTTTACTGGCGTGGCAGAAAGTTTGAGAAAACATAAACCAGCGTTGCTAAAGAAGAAACACACTAGAAGCCTTTTATCATAGTATTTATATTTTTTATATCTTTCTTTATTAGTTAGGATATTGTATAAAATATTTAGTGTGTTTTAAAGTCTTGTTATTTACGATTTTATATATTTACAAAAGAAATTAAAAAATAAAAAAAATTATTGATCTACGTAATCATTTTTATTGTATCCTCCGCCGATCTTGTCGAGTACTAAAATTGATTAGCGAATTATTTATTCTAATTATTTAACTGCTATTAACGTTAACGTTATTACCATGTTGGCTAAAAAAAACACTGGCCGCGGCCAAATGCCAATTAAATCTTAATAAGTATTAATACATTTATTAGCTATTGGCCACGGCCAAATGGGTCACAAAAAACCTCTTGGCTGTGGCCAAATGCTAATACTGCGTTATAATAAATTTTTATACTTAATCTGATACACATGTCACATAACAAGTTTATGTTGTGAGAATGAATTCTCGCAGTATTTCTCAAGGTTAGGTTATAAAGAATTAATATTTATTTTAAAACTTTTTTCCAATCACAAATAAAAAATATAAGAAAATTAAAGTCATGATCTCTCTCTTTATTATTTCTTGATTATACTATACCTTTGATTACAAACACAAAGCATATATATGATAAGTTAATTATTCATGAGTACTACTAAAAAAATAATCTATTTTTAGTATACCATTTCAAATTGTTACATTATTTAAGAATTCCCGATTAACATTATTTAAGAACCGTGATTCTTCTTTAACAATGCTGGTTTATGTTTTCTCAAACTTTCTGCCACTCCTGTAAAATGGTTAACTAATTTTACTTCAGTCATTGCACAAGTAAATTGACAACGCAAAGCGCTTGATGATGAACTTTGTGGATGATAGGATCGCGCAATTTTTGCCATTTCTTCTAAAGAGTGACTTTGTGAACGACTGCCAAATAATACTGTATAGAGATATAATGGAGATCTGAAAATTTTCCAAAGAAAATTTATTCAATAAGATTATTTTTAAGTAAACTCTAATAAAATTTAATAATAAATACCCTCTTGTTAGATTTTGTTTGCAAATAGTATGAAGTTGATTCGTTGGAATACCACATTCGCCGTCAGATAAGAAGATAATGATATTTGCTCTAAAAAAAAGTTAGAAATATAGCATAACTATTTCGATTTTAACTTGTACAAAATTCTAACTATACCTTGTAGCATCAAAGTGTGTAGCAATCAAAAATCCTGCTTTTTGAATTGCAAGATCGAAATTCGTTCCGCCTCGAGCTTCGTGTTTAATCATTTCATTTAGCAACTTTTTCGGATCAGTTAAATCTCGATTCTCAAATGGAACGATAATCTATCATTATTCAATTATTCTTAGTATATTAATGATTATAATTAAACTTCAAAATATGATTGTAAATTAAAAACCTCGTGATCAAATAAGATCAATGATACTTTATCACGCATAGCTTGATTTTGATTTACTGGAGCAGATTTGATACGTGCATCCATAAATTGATATACCTGTTAAAAGTTAATGATGATAAAAAATTTTTTATTTAAAAAAGTTAATGCCGTAAAATTTATCTTAAGCAATAATAATCATTTTAATCTTACTGCATGATATACTGCGCCTGTTCTATTGTTGTGTTTTTTGATTAATTCATTATAAATTGGAAAGTTTGGAATTGGTTTTTTATCTCTTTCGCTCATAGATGATGAACGATCCAAAACGAATATAATATGAAAAGCGGCTTCACGTGTACTTGGATTTTCACAATAAAAATGATGCCCATCTAAAGATATGTAGCCATAGTTATTTGGAGGATCTGAACTTGGATTAAGCGGAGCGTGGAAAAGGGATAATTCACAAAATGATTTAGTTGGAGAAGCGCTTGTAGATCCTCGAGATTTATGATGCTTTTCGTCAGGACATTCATGATCGCATTTTGCAAATTCTTGTTGTTCTTGAGCGGAATAAGGATCTAAAAAAAAAAAAAAAATACATCAATAAATTAATATATACTGAAGAAGCACGTGAAAAATTTTCATATATACCTTTGAATCCCGTTCTCTCCCAAAACAATTTATGAGAAATGAAATCTTTTGGTTTATCAGGATTAGGATATACTCTTTCTATAATAAAATAGTTAATTAATTAATATATAAATATAATTACATCAAAAATGAATTAAATTACCATTAAAATGTTGTATATCTTGTCCTTGGTTTAATAATGATTTACAATTTTCTTCATTCTGACAATAATCTATATGACGATGTCTTCCTAAATCTTTACAGTGCTAATATGGGAGATTAAAAAACACAATGCTTTAACACTAATGACTTCGATAATAAAATGAGATGCTGTATCAACATACCAGGTTACAAAGAACAAATGTTCCTTGGTCACCAACTCTTAGCTTATGTCTAAAAATTAAAAGAAATTTTAATAATAATATTATTATTAATAATATTTCTATATATGTATATGCATACCCTGCATATTCAAATTCATTATCTTCTCCGGTAAATTCAGTTTGGGTCATGTTTCCGTGTGTTGTAGTATGAATTTGTGCATGTCCATAAGGTAATGTACACTAATTATAACACAATTAATTCATTAATATATTAAAAAAAAAAAACAGGTAAATACATAAATATGTTTAAATACATACAAAATATTCACAGAATTGGCACTTTGCATCACAAAAATGAAAACTATCTTCTACATGTGTATGCATTCCAGTATGTTTAAATTCGTTTGGAGGAATTTTTTTAATACATACTAATCTTTCATTTAATTGAATATACTATTTTATTAATGAAAAATACATTTATAGATTAGTAAAATTTTTATTTTTCTCACATAACTTCTATAGAGATCATCATACCTTCGTAAATGTAATATTTGTAATTAATCCTTTATAAACTTCTTCTTGCTTCTTAGGTTCAATAATTACTTTACATATGCCATCCTCTTCACATAATTCACGACATTTATGTTCATTCCTTAAAAATAATGTGTTTTTAAATCATTAAATTCATTCCAAATAATAAATAAATCAAATAAAATCAAATAACATAATACATACCCACAAAAATGATCTACTTGCAAATTAGAGTAAGAGTGAAAATGATCATTATCTTGACATTTATTCTGGCAATCTAATATTGGACACTGAATTGGACAAGTTTCATTTTCACAGCGATGTGAATCATGTTCTTCTTCATATGGTATAATACATTTATTAGGACAATCATAGTCTCCTTTCTGAGTTTTGGTTGATAGCGAACAAGCTTCTCCACAATAATGTCGAGTTGATTGACATAAATGTTGCTGTTCTTCATGTCCAATTTCCTTTGAACAAACTTTCTGGCAATTACGTTTACCGATAAGGTTACAAGGCTTACCACACAAATGATTTATTTCATCACAAGCGTGTTTTCCTTCATGTCCGGCTTTATGGCTACACGTTGGAATTGATTTGTTGTTGTGAGCTTCAGAGAAATGGCATTTCAAATGACATTTATGGTCCGTTAAACAATCATGATTTTCTTCGTGATCACGATTCTTGACGCACTTTAAACAACACTGATGACATGTCAATCCACATAATGTCCATAAAAGCGTAAGTTTGCCGATTTCTTGTTCCATTGAATAATTTCCATTAACAATATCACTATTGTCTTGTGGAAACTTGGAAGTATTTTGCATATACCAATCTTGAACGCGTGAAACACGGCGTTCAATAATATATTTAAAGAACCTATTGAAGGCGAACCATGTGAGATCGTCAATTCGTGATTGTACATGATCTTCAAAGTAATTTCTTAAATATTCAGAAAGTCGGACAAAGGATTCGTTTTCATCGTATAATTGGAGATCAGAATCCGGTAATATTGTCTTAGAAGATTCGAAATCATGTAAAATCTCAGATAAGCTGACTACCGAGTCAGCAATTGGTTTACCTGTATCACGATTCTATTGAAATGTATGAAATAAAATCATTAATGATTCGTCAAACTATATAAGCCAGAATATAAATAAATAAATTTCTTTTATGATACCATAAGTGGTTCATTAGCGGAAGAATCTTTTTGTTCCAAACCATAGGAAATCACAGTTGGGAGTAATCTTTTTAAAGTTGCAACACGAATCTGTATGAGGTTTACATCCAATGAACCCCAATCACATATCTAATGCAAATCGATTACTTATTTAATTGAAAATAATTTAGATAGATAGATAGACGAGATAAACAGGTGTACAAACCTTCAATTTAGTCATAATTACTTTTGTATTTGTAGAAAAGTTCGTGCATTCTCATATTTTGCTTCCTGCTTGTCTAACTTCTTATTAACAATTGATAATGTCTTAAACCATGCAGCATCGTTAAACATTGGCCAGGGAATAATATCTAATCCTCCCTTGTACATTCTCGAAATAAAGTTATCTTCTCCTTCCTAAAAATAATAAAATTAATACCTTAACAGATAAATATTTAAAAGTGACGGTAAAAATACTACCTCTGAAACTAATTGAGAAAATTTTGACTTAAATTCTCTAACAATATCTTCTTTGTCAGCCTTAGACACGTCTTTTATGATAATACAAAGTTTTGCCTAAATCACAAAATATATTAATAAACAAATTTTATTATACTATAAGTAAAAGTTGTGAAATTGACTCATGCCTGAAAAATTTTTGGATCTGATTCAAATAACATTGCACCATCTTGAAATTTTTGAAACATCAAAGACATATCTCTGTTTACTGCAAATTGGTTCTGTTTTAATTAAGAACATTTTGCAATAGTAAATAGATGAGAAATGAAATAAAGATAACAAGATAAATAAAATTTACCTTAAAGAGTATGAGACTTGATACGACTGTATTAAAAAGTGTTAAAAACAAATCTAATTATATATTTATTAATTAGTATACAGCTATCTAAACTGAGAAATATAATTATATATATAATTGTAAATTTACCCTCTTGAGAACTTCTTTCAAGAGAATTTAAACCTTCAAAATCGAGTGCGACATAAATAAATTTCTTGGTATTTACTATAAGAAAATAGGAAAAAAGGCATTAGAGAAAGCCAATTTAATTTTTATGGTACCAAGAATATTAAAAAGTTTATTTACCAAGCGACATCCATACGCCCTCGGTGCAACGCTGAAATGAATATTAATTTAATAATTTATTTTACAAAGATAATTAGGTAAAGATGTTAAAGAATAAATATTTACCATTGCGGAGCCGTCAAAGGTAGTTCCAACAAGATGATTCAACATGAATGATTTTCCGCAAGACTGTTCACCCATACTAGAAACAACTTTCACTTTTTTATCGCCAAAATGCCTGAAAATTCCTTCATACCATCCAAAAGAAATGTTTTTTGCTATGCTTTCGACATGATGACTATAGCCATCATCAATTTCAAAATCATTTGAAGATAATCCATCCTTGAGAGGTTGAAATACATTATCTTTTGCTACAGCGATTTGTATAGGAATTAAACAACAAAGTTGAATGATCCATTCTCCCAATTCATATTCCGATGAATACTTTTGAATACTTTCAATATTAAGTTCTTGAAAAGGAATAATTGATGTAGAGAATTTTTTTAGCATTGTTGTGGGCTTTTTTGTAGATCGTTTTAAATCTTCAAAGGTTTCAGAAATGTAATCCTTAAATTTCTCGCCATATTTTTCGATTTCTTCATCGACAACTTCAATATCAAGAACGATTTTTAAACTAAGAGGACGATTTTGTTCAGGATCGATACAGCTTTCAACTGGATACTTCTCAAACATTAATTTATAGGCGTCAATAAGTCCATTTAATTTTGTCTTCGGTTCAATACGAAATTCCATCCAATTATCAAATCCATCTATAGGTTTGATATTATAAATTTTTAATTTTGTGTTAGAAACAACTTCAGTCACACTAAATTTCTCTCCCATTACTACAATAAATTCTCCATTTTGAACAATTTTTTCAAACTGTGTATTTTTTCCTTCAATAATGGTATAATTAACATTTCTGTGAGAAGAATTCATTAATTTTACAAGCCCAAGTGACTTTTTTTGCATTCGTTCTTGGAAACGATATTGAGTTTTTTCAAGGGTGATTTTAACTATTACGGAATGGAAATATCCATTTTTTAAATCAAGCGATATCAAATGAGTTTGTAGATTATTTATACATGTAAATTGCAAGAATTCCAAAGATTGAAAATTTGTCGGTAAATCAATAACTAAAAAAAAATAAATTTTTTTAAAGCATTAAATCTTATATAAGTTAAAAAGACATAATAGATCGTTAGTTACCTTTAACAGGACCCCCAAAATTCGAACAAAAATAAACATAAGCACGGTATATTTCTTTGCTTTCGTTTTTAATACAATTATTTTGCTCTTCTTTGTTATCAGCTGAAATAACCGGATCATTATCACTTTTGTCCATATCATCAGTAATATGTTCATTTTCGTTGCCATCTTCGCTTCCCGCGGGGTTATCAGCTGAAATAACCGAAATATTATTATTTTTTTCCATATAATCAGTAATATGTTCATTTTCGTTGTCATCTTCACTTCTTGTGGTTTTATCAATGGGGTTAACCTCTACTAAATTTTCTTTAACGAATGCTACTATACATGAGCCATCAGGTGAGCTTAAAACATTTGCGGTATTGGTTGGAAGATTACAAACTGCTGGTCGAAATTGTAAGTTTATAAGATTAAAAATACGTGTTCGGCCACCTTTCTCAACAAAGCAAAGTTCCTCGGTATCTTTAATAAAAAAGAAATGATGAAGAATTGGAACCATATTATTATACCATTGTAATAACTGTATATTTGAATTTCGTGTAAGTAAATTTGCTTGACCATCATGAAAAGAAGATACATTTAACTATTAGAATAAAATAAATATTTTTAGATTTATGGAAATTAAGGAAGTTACAAATAATCAAACATTTTCATACATACCGTAGCTTTTTTTGTATTATAGATAGCAATTAATTCTTTTGGCTCATTAATTGCAATAATAAAATGTTCATCCGAAAAAAGCGTTTTAAATGGCTTAATCATATACGATGCTTTGAAACTTTGTGCTAATCGCTGAGCCGTATCAAAAAATATTTCGATTCTTTCCATCTTTTTATTGTAAAGCACAAGGAATTTGCGGTTACCAAATTGAGATATTTTTCTATGATGTAAATTATACATATATGTAAGTCATCGAAAAAAGAAGCGAAGATTTATAAAAATATTAATAATTGCCTGAAATCGTAAATTGCAGGATCAATCTGGAAAGTGAAGCCACATTGATATTGTATAGGTAATGTTAGATTTGGAATGTGAAGCCCATTATCTTGAAGTTGAAAGGTATCTGCTTCATCTAATGAAGTTTCGTAAATAGTTATCTGCAACTGATTTGGCTGCGTTGTTTCAATTTCATGTTGGAATCGTAATCGATTAGGATAATTAGAATCTGACCAAAAAAATATTCACGATGTTAAAAATATTATTATTAATCATTTTAATTAAATTGCGAATAATTGTTCTATCACCTGTTACTATATTTAGTATATTCAACTGCATAAGTCTAGAAGATTTTTATTGTTTAATATTAACGTATTAATAAATCAATGTTAATAATTAATTAAAACTTACCCATTTTGATATTTTTCTTCTATTACATTACAAATTCTTTCAAATTCATGAGTTTCAATTTCTAGTTTCTCTTGCTCAAATTCTTCATTTAACTTTTCTGTTAATTCAGAAACTTTTGGCAGAATTTCTTTAATGTTATTGGGAAAAGTGATATTTCTCCATTTTTTGTATTCTTCAAAGAAAGCTTCTATGACATTTTTTTTGATCTCATCAAATTCTCCAAAAAATGCTGAACTATTAAGGTCTTGTACAAATTGTTTATCTAACATATTTTTGGATATTTTAATCGAATCGTCGATTGCGCGATTAATTTTTGTAGAATTGAAAGACTTAACGATAAGATCCCAAATAATAGCTTGTAATTTATACCAAGGTTGTTGTTTTTCAGTATACTTTTTTACTAATTTATGTGCATCAGTTTCTGAATCCGTGAACATATTTTTAAAAATCTCTATTGTAGATTCTGCAATTTCTTCACTGTTTTCTCCAGCCGATTCTATTATTTTCTTAATTATTATCGTAGTTAAAATGTATCTTCTTTTTAATTGTTGCCAAGCTTTGGAATTGATTTTAATTTTTTCATTAATTTGACTTTCTATGTCAGGATATTTATCATGAATCCTTTCTAAATCTAAATTAATAAATAAGAAATTGATTAGATAACAATATTAATAAATAATCTCCAAGTATTTTTAAACTTGTACAATATAATTTACCCTCATCACCTATATTTGCCTGAAAGAAGGAATTTTCGACAATAAACTCTTCAAAAGAACTATAATAAAATTAATTTATTACATTTTTTTTTTAAAAAAAATAAAAAAAGGATCAAATAAAATACCTGTAACAATCATATAATCTCTTTTGTGCTAAATTTGTAATGAGTTCAATATCTTTACTTGTAGCATTCTTTTCTTGATTTTTCTTTATTTCACTTTTCAACCTTGCAGCTTCTATTGCTTCATGTAATGGCTCCAAAAGTTCATCTTCCATTTTTAATCCGTGTTTAATCAAAATCTCTAAAGATTTCATGCTCATTTTTTCACGATTAATTTGTAAACGTCGTCCTTGCAGTATAGTCTGAAGTTCTTGTGAAAATTCAATTGTAGAAAGAAATAAAATGTTTGGACGTAATTGAGAAGTCGACTTTATTAATTGTCTGGTAACGAACGATTGGTTTTTAGCTGATTCAACAACTAAATCAATAATGGATTGAATATAAGTTAATAATTCACTTTATAAAATTTAAAAATACAAAATTATTACCAATGGGATGTAAAGGTATATCATCTTGAACATTATTATTTATTTCAGCTTTTATTTTTTCAGACAAATCCACCTTAAGAATTAAAAATTAAGTTATTTTACATATATATATTACATACTTAAAGTAGTTTAATAAAAACCTTGAAACCGGGATAGATTATGAAGTTTTCCTGTTCTTCCTGGCTTTTCTTTACTTCAAACTCGAAACGAGATTCATCATCTTCATCTTCTGAATCAATATCAGAATTGTCTAATTTCCAATCGAAACTTTCCAGGTCTTCATCGCTCATAAGACAAAGCTGATGGTCAGTAAGCTTTGTCAAATATCTATAGGATTTGATAGAATGATAATTAAATTGATTTTCGATTTAATACAGGCTAAATAAAAAAAATATACCTATGTAGATTAGTCATATTCTTTTTACGTTGCGAAGAAGCATTTTCCTCATAACATCCAATTTCAGGCCAATGAATAACTAAACCCAAATCTGCATTCACAACGAACAAATAAATACCAGGACGTAAAGAAGGCTTATTTGCGTTGTTCACAGAAGATTGCGAGGCTATAAGCAAATCACGTCTAAATAAAAAGAGAATATAAGTAATATAAGTTTAATTATGGTTATAGGAATTGAATAATTATTTCATGATATAAATTGATATAAATTACATACATTCGTTGATCGATAATATTTTTCTCGAACAAAAGTTTTACGATTAAATTGTGAATTCCGTAACACCCAACAAGTCGAAACGAAATTGAATTCAGTTTCGTATAATTAATTTCAGAAATAGACTTGAAACTTAACGGAACCATATCGTTGCATAGTTTCTTTAAAGAATCCTTTGAAATAATTATTTTATCCACTAAAGGAATTATAAAATATATCAAGTGTTGAAGATTAATCCTTTAATAAATTATTCAAATACAATTTCACAAATAATGTAAGTAAAGAAACATACCAAGTCCATTCGAACCATCATCTTTGTATAAGTCTAACAACCGATACATACCAGGAATATATTCAGCCAAATCTTTGCCATTTTCAATTGAATCAATCGAATAATATTTGTGATTTTTAAGAACTTTACGAATATTTTTTTTGGGATCAACCTTGTCAAGGTCATTTCCAAAATTCGGTTTTTTTCGGAAAGCAATTGTAGAATCATCGGATTGGGATTGAGTAGATTTGCTTTTCTCTCTGTTTTTTTCTTGAGATTCTTTGGACAACGTTTCAACTTGAGGGTTAGAATCAGTACCATCACTTTGTTGGCCGTGTCGCGAATAATCCCCGGAAAATAAGTTCGTGTTCATAATTTGACTAAAATCACTAGTAAGTAAATTATCGGAAGGCTCATCATCTTGAGTTTGGACCGAAAGCCTAAAAGTTATTTGTTCTTCCGAACTTTGCATGTTGTCGGCACTAAAGGAGTCCGTATTCGTGATGATACCTTGCTGAACTAAGTTAATTGGTGGTTGTTCGTTTGCGATGCCATCATTTAATAGTGGCGGAGAAGGAATTTCATTTCCACCTTGAACAATTGAAGGATCGTTAGGTTGCATCCTGGTTGTCTGCTGCGTAAAAGGAGTCGCTGCCGGCGCCATCGATGGATTGATAAGAATGGTTGAATCATTTGTTTCCTCTAAAATAATATAATAATAATAAGGAAAGAAAAGACAAAATTAGTCATTTATATATTATATGCATCAAAATAATTCTTTCCTAATCACAACATTGAATCAATAAAATCAATTCAATATATGGATGGATTAACGCTTCTGTGCCAATTATCAATTTTCTTTGATTAGTTAACAAGTTGTCATGTTATGGAAAATTTTTAACGCGTTAATATTCCGAAATTGATTAATATCTTACCAAAATTATCGGGAACTTGGGTATTATTATGATTTTTCATGATGTAACCGACTAATTATAACGTTTGATGGTTGACCTTGTTTATATAGAAAATTTTTTTCATTTTTGTCCCGCAGAATGAATTAAACAATATCAACAATTGATTCTATAAAGGTCAATGTTTTGAATGATAATAATTTAAAATAAGAAAAGCGACATCCGGAAAACTTCTATTTGTGGTTCAATTTTGGTTGATGCACCAACGAAAAGGCTGATGCATGTGATGCAAACTTGAAAATTGGATTTTGATTAGCAGTAGTTAAATGGTAATTGTTTCCAGGGATAGAAATTTTATGTTGTAATGGTATCTCCTTAATCAACCCTAATTTGAACTTATTGATGACAAGGTTTCTTTGTGCATAAGCATAATAAAAATTTCATTTGTTCAAGGTTACAAAATACCAAATCAAGTTTAATTATTCTATTTTTCATTTGGTGAAATAATACACGTAAGTAATTTTATTCGTACCTAACAAAATTGCCGGAAATAGAATCAATTAACGACATATTCGTATTAGTCAATTCATATAGTCTAAATAAGTCTGTACGTTGAGGATTTTTAATTTATCGTTCGATGCATAGATAATGATCTTTAAATATTCTATCTAAATAATTTTACGCGTTTATTTCGTATCGTAAATTTATCCAATAAAAATTTGGCGTATGGCGCGATTAACACAACACAATTTTTGTTATTTTTATTTCTTAAATCTCTGCCGGCTGACAAATTCCGGATTAGTCGTAAAATAATAATTATAATAAAATTAATAAAATTAAACTAAATAAAATTTATCCAAATTTAGAATTATTAAACTAGTGAATTAAAATAAAATATAATTAATATTAAGTTGTCGAAAATATTCTAACCACTTGAAACACTTCATAATCATCGACAGAAAAGTAATCCTCACTTTCTCTGATTTTATATTCATAACTTGTCTTTACACATCTACAATAACGTTCTTCATTGAAATTTCCCCATAATTGTAAATCTGTTTCGGATCCACCAAAACTCGGACCCGAATCTGCACAATTATAAAAAGCGCAATTAGGGTCTTTTACCCTAGAACATCTAGCATTATTCAAATTATCTTTATCAAATGAAAATAAAAAACTTCTAGTAGAATAACTGAAATCTTCTAAAGACGCATCCCAATTCATTGGGGTATACCCCCCAAGAAGTTCTCCTGTACCTTTAACTCGTAAGATGGTTACGGTTGGTCCTTTATTATCACATAATTTATGAAACGTTTCCGCCGTAAATCCGTCCCTTGTACCACGTAAAAGCAATCTAAATTCAAAATGTGATTGCATTTGCGGATCGTTAATCATCCATCCAGAGATCAATGAGGCATGTTTCGCTGTAATTAGAGTTGAATCAATATCACATGTTCCGATTCCTGATGATAATGATTCTACCCCAATTTCTTGATTAAAAGGTCGAACTTTTTCAAAGAAATCATCCTGACTTATTAGCGAAAATTTAATACAATTAACGAATGGTTGTACTATGTTTCGAAACGTTGAAAAATGATCGGATGTCCACGTCTTAATATCATGTGAGAGTAAAGGATCTTGTGCAATTCCCCATTCAACTATTTTATTCCATAAATCAATTTCTTTCATAATAAGATTACTGGCTTTAAGTATAAATAATAATGTATTTTGATCTATCGTAATAAAATCTTTGGCCTCAAAAAATATCGCAGGATCTTGATTAATCGTATTAAGACAAAAAGTTTGTAATTCTGTAAAATGATCATATTCGGTAACAAATCGATGAATTAAAACGAGATTTGTTAATATTAATTCCGGGTTATACAAAAGAAATTCTTGAATACGTTCAACTAGTTCATTTATGCATAATTCATCAGCTGCCTTCAAAATTTCAAGTATAATTTTCACATTAACTTTTGGGAGTGAAACTGATGCACCATAAATATATTCTAAAATAATTTCGAATACGTTCGGAGAAATATTTGGTTTCTGAAAGATTAAATAATTTCCTTTTGTCCTTGCCCATGTGTTTGATAATGCATTACGAAAGTAAACTGATCTTGTTCGTAAAATAAGTGAATGTACTCGAAATTCTCTGATAAAAGGTTCTTGACCAGCTTGAATTATTACATCTGAATATTCTCCCGTATCAAGAAGTGAAATAAAATCGCGAGATAATAAATCAAAAGCTTCCAATGACATTATATATATATATATATATATATATAAAGGAAAGGTAAATTACAAAGAAAAAAAATTTTTTTTAAATAATCAGAAAGAAAGATAAAATAAAAAACATGAGAAAAAGCTGCAACATTTTATTTGTTTGTAATTAACCGCTTGGATTGTTTACCTTTAAAAGAAAACGTGTGACATTATTAGTAAATTCAGTCGTTCCTTTTATGGTGATGATCTGGTTTTTGAAATTTCTTATCGAACTTTATCTTTTATTGCTTCGCCACAATCAAATCAAATCAAATAATCAAATCAAATCAAATTATCAAATCATTGATAAAAAGAAATCGAATGCAAAATTTTTATTTTTAATAAAAATGGCAGCACAACTTTACAAAACTACTTCAGGACGTTTATTTCATGCTGGACAAATAGCAATCATTACTGTAGGGTAAGTTCATTAATAATAAATTATTTTCGCCCCCGAATAGATCTAATTTTTATTTTTTTATTTCAAGTTTACCAGCAAGAGGGAAAACGCACGTGGCGCGTTCATTATGTAGATATCTTCGATGGTTAGGTGTTCATACAAAAGTTTTTAGTGTAGGGAATTATCGTCGTCAAGCTATGGGAACTGCTGCAAGTTTACCTCATGATTTTTTCAATCCTGGTAGGTAAGTCTCGTTCTCGCAATTAATATATTGAATTATTTTTAATTACATTAATATTAATATAGAAAATCATGAGACCGCTGAGGCACGGCACAAAATTGCAACGGAATGTTTACAAGATATGATTATATGGTTACAGGAAGGAGGACAGGTTGGCATTTATGACGCCAGTAACACAACTCAAGATAGACGTAAAGAAATACATGACATCTTAATTAGTCACAACGTTCACGTGAGTAAATTCTAATTTTAACTTGTTTTCCCTTCTATTATTTAAATAAGAAATAATTCCATTTTATAGCCCGTCTTTATTGAATCAATATGTGATAAACCCGAGATCATAGAAACTAATATACGAAGCGTCAAAATCACTTCACCAGATGTATGATTAGATTTTCTTTTCTTTATTTGCATTTATAACATGTTAATAAGATTGGAGAATCAAACTATATTGTAACGAAAAAAGAAAAATTAAAGGATCCATTCATTTTCCTTAGTATATTGGCTGGGATCCTGAAGAAGCCGTAAAAGATTATTGGGTTAGTGACCTTTCTCAATTTAATTTATATATAATATCTTTTACTAAAGGTTATTTATAAATTGTACGAATTTAGTCGCGTATAAATAATCATTTGAGTCATTACGAAACGATCACAACTATGGAATTAAATTTTGTAAAAATGATTAACGTTGGTGAACGCATAATTGTAAATAACGTAAAGGGATATCTTCAGGTTTGCATGCATTTATCATATGATGTAATGAATTTTATAAAACCCTCTTATTTAATTCATTTTTTTTTAAAATTTAGAGTCGTATCGTATACTATTTAATGAATTTACACATTTCCCCAAGGATTATATATTTTGCTAGAGTACGGTGATGGCATATGATGATTGGGTTAATATTGATCAATTATTTCTGACATTGTTTTGTATCAATTAGTCAGGAGAATCAATGAATGAAGTATCCCAAAGAGCCGACGCGGAATTAAGTCCCACCGGAATACGTTATGCTCAAACATTAAAAAGATTTTTGAAGACTTTAAGGGAGAGAGAGAGAAAAGAACGTAAAGAGCAAGGATGGGGCGACGATGAAAGAATGTTGACGGTGCGTTACTATAATTTTTTTTCATCATACAGGACGTGAAGGAATTAGAATTTTTTTTTATGAAATTTTATTTTAAAGATCTGGACTTCAGCGCTTAGACGTTCATATCAAACGGCAAAACCTTTTCTTGATGAAGGTTATACCGTACAACAACGTCCATTGTTGGGTGAAATTAATTTAGGTGAAGTCGATTCGCTTACTGTTGAAGAGATTAAGGTAAAAAGGCATAAATTAGGATGATCATAAATTCACGTTATTAATAACAGATTTTCTATATAGGCCAAATTTCCCGAAGAATATGTAAAACAACAAAAGGATCCATATCATCATCGTTACCCTAGAGCTGAGGTGAATATTGAAATGAACTTTAATAAAAATCATGACTGTCGAACTTATTGGACTTTGATATTTAATAGTCATATCAAGACTTGGCAGTTCGTATAGAGTCCATTATTCTGGAACTTGAACACGAAAAAAACGATGTGCTAATTATTGCTAACGAGACAGTATTAAGATGCCTATACGCGTACCTTTTTGATCGGCCAGAAGATGTAATATATGAATTTCAAATTATTTGTCAAGTTCTTTCCTCGATTTTAACTTATTATTCTTATTTTAGGAAATTCCAAGGATAGCTATTCCACGTAATTATTTAATTGAGATAATTCCTTCTGCTTATGGATGTCGTGAAACTCGCATGGAAATCGTTGACACCTTTGATCAATCGATACCTATATTAGCTGATTTGAGTAATAGTGGAAAAAGTTAAATTCACAATATCGGAAAAAAAAAAAGTATTTTATTGTTATATTGTTAGGAAGTTATTAATGTATATATTCTAATACTATAATAATCATCATAAATTATAGAATTTAACCATTAAAGTTATTGTATATTTATCATTTACATTAGAAAAGATTAATTACAGAGGTCTTAGCAAACTCGGTCCTTGTTAAAATGTCGGTTAAAGTATAAACACAAATTTTAAAATAGTAATATCTTGTGATGATTTGTGATTATGACATATCCTTATTTTATTAAATTTTTTTTAAAGCTCAATTGTATAACCACCAATTACGTCATTTATACCAACCAACTTACCATCCAAAATTTGATATTTAATAATTATTAAAAATAAATAACATTATATTATAATACAATCTCTTTAAATTTAACTATAAGTTTGATAATAGATTTAAAATTTTTTTATCATCAGACTTATAAATTATAAACTTTCGTTCAATTTAACTATTGTTTTTTAATTACGAAAATTCTTCACAAGTTATCACAATTATTATTAAAAAAAGATTTAATCTCTCAATAAGTTATTTTAGTATAAAAAATAAATATCATTATTTTAATTAAAAAATATATTTTTTTAATTATCATAATTATTAAAAAACTATTTTTTGATTTAAAAATCATACTAATAATTTCTATTTAATCTTCATATTCATTAAAATTTAATAATTAAATTTATTTTTTTTATATTTAGTTAACTTTCTCTAATTATACCCTCTTAGGATTATAGTGAAAATTTTACAAAATATACATTTAAAAAAGAAAATTTCTATATAATTTTTATAAAAAAAATGTTGATTATACTATTTTTATTAATATACAGTGGCGAGCAAAAGAAACGCAACTAGGTAACACAAATGTTTGTCGATCATTTAATTTCACGTGATTTTATGCTATAATCACGAGAAATATCTTGTTTGAAAGCTCCGAACTAGAGCTATTTAAATATATAAACTTTATATTACTTTAAATAAAATATTTTAAAGTTATTTTAATTAAAAAAAAAAGTTTGATTTATAAATTTTAACGATTTTATTATAAGTCCGATCTTATTCTTTATTATTTGAATTTTTTTAAAATTTTTTAAAAAAATTTAAAAAATTACATTTCTAAATAAAATATTAGCTATTTTTAATATAAATTTAAATATTTTTTAAAAAAAAAATTCAAAAAAATTATAATTAATTTAAAAAAAAAAATTATAAAAAAAAAATTATTAAATTTCAAAAAAAAATTCCTTTATTTATTTCGATAAAAAGTTAAAAGCTCACTTAACTTAATATTACCATCTAGTATATCCACCTTTTTGTTTATATACATCTTGAATTCTTTGAGGCATTGTTTGAATTAATTTGGTACAAGCATCGATTTCAATT